CTATGCCTGCTTTATAGGTTATCAAAAGGCTTTTGATAGAGTACGACCAGAAACTCGAAAAACTGTTAAAAGAAAAGAATGTGGATAGTCGAGATATACGGGTTATTGCCAATCTGTACTGGAATCAAAAAGCAAAGGTTAGAATCGAAAATGTCGATACAGAAACAATAGAAATTAAAAGAGGTGTTAGACAGGGTTGCGTGCTGTCCCCATTGTTATTCAATCTGTACAGCGAAGCTATTTTAAAGGAAGCAATATCAGAGGAACAACAATGTATAGCAATAAACAAAAAAATCTTAAACAACATAAGATTCGCAGACGACACCGCTGTTTTTGCAGACAGTCTAGAAGCATTGCAATGCTTAGTAAATAGATTACATCAAGTCAGTATCAAATATGGACTACAAATAAACGTTAAGAAAACCAAGTTCATGATCATTTTTAGGCAACAGACAGTAGGAAGGCTAGATATCGAGGAAAAACAAGTAGAAAGAGTGAATATCTACAAATATCTGGGAACCTGGGTAAATGAAAAAAACGACCAAGGTACAAAAATAAGGACACGCATTGAAATTGCAAGACAAGCATTTAAAAAAATGAAAACAATGTTTGTCAATCGAGACCTACCTCTGGATCTAAGGATAAGAGCCTTAAGATGCTACGTGTTCTCGACTTTGTTGTATGGAATGGGAAGCTGGACACTAAAAGTGGATAATATAGAGAAGTTGGAATCATTTGAGATGTGGTGCTATAGAAGGATTGTGAAAATTCCATGGACCCAACGAGTTACAAATGTAGAAGTGTTAAGAAGTCTACAAAAGGATTGCGAGGTCATAAAGGACATCAAAACAAGAAAGCTGGAATATTTAGGCCACATTACCTGAGGTGCGAAATATGAGATATTAAGGCTCATAATGCAAGGCAAAATCAAGGGTAAAAGATCCATAGGAAGACGAAGAATTTCCTGGCTGAGAAACCTAAGAGAGTGGTATAGTTGCAGCTCAGTAGATCTTTTTAGAGCAGCTGCCAATAAGGTACGGATAGCTGTGATGATAGCCAACCTCCGATATTAGAAGGAACTACAAGAAGAAGAACGAAAAAGTCTGTCGTCTTAGTCTGTTTTGTTTTTTCCTTTCCACAGCCTTATATCGTCTGTCTGGTGGATGAAAACCGATCAAATACTTTTTCCGCATCCAATGCCTTCTGAGAAGTCTGAGATGGTTCTGGCTCTGCTTCCACTTCCACGCCACTGTTTTCTTCTTCTTATATACGAACTGCTTGTAGAATGTCCTCATCAGAAAGTCCAGATGTTGTAGCTACGTTTTCATCAACTTCTTTGAAATCTGTTAGCTCTTCGGTTCAGTAGGTAATAGGAAGTTCAAACGGTCTGGCCCAAACAGCTAACGACAGATCATCTTTATCCTTAGTCAATGCTTGATCTTCTAGTCATCTTGCGTGTTTAAAGGAATATTCTATCGTATTGCTCGTCACCTCGTTCCAGGTTTAACTAACAATTACGATGGCGTCAGGAACGTTTAGGTTAAGATCCCCATTGTTCTTAACGAATTCCATCAAAAGTCTTCTCCTGTATTGGCTTTTTAAAATCTTGATTGCATTTTGATCCATAGGCTGTGTGTTTGCTCTTTGTGTTTGCTTGCAGAAAACAAAGTTCAATCTTTTGAAAGTCGCACTGTACAGGATGGACAGGACAATTATTGTCTACAAGCAAAAGTTTTGTCACTTTAATCCTCCATTTCCACTTCAAGCCATTTTTTGTGTTATTTTATATCGCAGCCACAGTTGAGTGAGACATTCCCATACGGTGAACGATCCGATTGCTTTGCACCTTTCTCTATTGCCCAAGTTATCGATAACTTTTCTTTCACAGAGAGTACTTTACACTTTTTCGAAAACATGATGACTGTTCACACACTGAGACACAAGGACACAACTGAAAATGGAAGTGAGAAGTCGTCAATAAATGACAACATCTGTGTGAAAAAAGTTAGGCACGCCGCACGAACAATTTTCATCATTATAGGGGAATTATCGTTATATAGGGAATCATTATAAAGAGATACTGTTCTATTAATTTTTTGTTTGTTGCATTGATATTAATTACTGTCTCCATTATGTCCACTATCTCTTCGTAAGAGCCACCTTTCTTCTTACTATTAGCATTAGTTGTACGCATTTATTGCCGACGTATTATTATTATAAATCGTGAAGCCAATTCAAGCAAAAATTCATTTTCCATTATAATAATTTATAAATTTAATAGTTCTTACCTATACTACAGAATAATAAAGCAATCAGAATGCCCACTCTGCTTGGCAAGATAAGTACGTGCATCTCATTCGCGCAGACGGAATCAGTCATGTTTTAAACGGTAGTTTAAACTGTTGTTAAGTGAAATTTTATCCGATGTACCTGTATACATATATACATATATATATATATATATATATATATATATATATATATATATATATATATATATATTTATATATATATATATTTATATATCAAGGTTAATATTTACTCATATTTTCAAGGACTCTTGAAAAAGATACGCTCGAAGAAAAACTGAAGCAGTTGGTTTCTTCGACAATGAAGCAGAAAGTTACCCGTGTTGTGGGCATTGAGAGTTTTTCGGATAAAAGTAAATCAGTTTTGAATTTGGGAGATGATGATATTGATTCTTGGATATGATCAGTGGATGATGAAGCAGTTGACTGCAATAGTGACCCTGTAGAGGGTGACTCTGTTTTAGTGAGAGTTTGTAGCATTTATAAAATTCCTTATACCCATAGTATATTCAAAGTATAAAATTTATCTGATACGCCCCTGTTCTATGTATAAGATTTCGTGTCTGTTTACATTCCACATTACAAATTCAAAATATGATTATATTTGGTTTATATTACGTATTAGTTCTACAGTTTTAAAAGCTGGAAAGGATCAAGGTCATTTACGATACGATGTGAAGCGTGTTTGAAAATAATTCCGATTCGCTAGTCCCTTGGAGGAGTATGAGGGGTGAAACACTGAATGCCGGTATGACACGTCAGGTCGAAGTAAACTCAGGTTTGGAAGAATCTTTGAAAAAGAGAACACGCTATGAGTGTCGGCGTCAAGAACCAAAAAGTGATTTATACTCAATGTAATGTGTCAGTTCTAATAAGAGTACTCACTGTTTTTGTTTTATATCATCTCTCACCTAAGAGATTTGTATGTAAGATATTTGCGGCGTTTCAAACAAATTTGAAAGATACCCACATGTGTTTTAAAGAAGTACAGTTTCGAAATTCCAGTAACCAACTTCCAGCGTAATTTTTCGCAGTTTGGAGATGAATTTGTTCGTGTAGTAGAGAGTGCAGGTCTAGTTCCTAACCCCAGACATTCTAAAGAAATTTTAGTGAAATCCAGGTAACTCTTTTGTGTTGATTTTTAAAGGAAAAATAAACATTTTCTAATAATAATTGCTTTCATAACAGTTTAAGAAATTGAAATAATTAAAATTGTAGATGTTACGGGTGGCTCAGTTGTTCTCGGTTTTAAAATTTAATATTGATATATGACAGCTAGCTTTATTTTTTTGACATTTGGTAAATACCTAATCATAACAGATCTTGTTTTGCTTTGTTTTTTTTTAGAAAAAGGTGAACCTCTATGCATAGTTTCACTTAAAACGATAGTTTTTTATTTGTAATAATTTATTTCTTCTACAAATTATCGTCGAGTAACAATTGTAAGTTTTGTAGTATCTCCAACTTCAAGAGTTTGTAAACTGATAGAATATGGTAAGTTTCTAAGCGGCGTCCTTATTTTAAATAGAGAACCTTCTTGTGTTTTGTTGTGTTCCAGAGATTGAATTAAGTACCCTTTTGCTTTACTTTTTGTAGTTGCCCCAATCCAAGCCCCCTTGCGATTCACTTATCCACGACCCAGTTCTCCAAATAAACCCTGAGTGGGCGTTCGCAGACGTTTCTGTTTGTTTTGCTTACCCTATCTCTAGCCGCATAATTTATGTCCCCAATTTTCAACCCCCAATTTCAAGACTCTATGTTGTAGGCAAATAATCGTTACAAGTTAAAGAAAAGTCCAAAAATATATTTTATGTGGGACTTGTTGTATCATGCAACAATTTAGAAATAGAGATCAATTTTATGCGCAAAACCAACAAAATAGGTGCCTCGTATTTCATATTTCCAGGGTGGTACACACTGAGACATGTGCAAAGTTATTTTTAAAGATACATAACTTTTTAAATTTAGTAATTCAATAATTTTTTTCGTCTCACTGTGTATCACCTTCCCCTACAAAATTCTATAATTTGTATCAGGTTAAGAATTTGTTCTCAAATGCCTTTTCTAGGGACGACGTTTTTCTACAGAGGAAATTAGGGCTATAGTACGGTAGTTATTAGAGTCAGTTAGTGAACATTTTTTATACATAGGCCATTTTACTATGTTCTAGGTCTCATTTTATAGTTTGAACACTATTTCAATTACCACGTCTCCCATTTTTGAGTGTTTTCTTTTTGAGATTTTTTACTGTTTAATTTCTTTATTGCGGTTTTCATTGTGGTTCTTTTTCTTCATTAATTTCTCTGTATCCACTATTTCATGATTACTATGAAACAATATTTCACAATATTGTTTCTATGTTGCTACTATTCCCTTTGGGTTGGTAATGGTTGTTCTTAAGTTATTTTTAATAATCTGCGTTTTGACTCGAACTCCTTGGTTAAGAATTTTATTTTGTCAAACTTGCTAGTAGTAAATTATTATAATAGATAAAAGTAATACAATCCTAAATTCTTAGATGCACTGTATAATGCTAACAATTAATTTGTATTATAATCGATTATTTATCGTCAAAAGTAAAAAAAAATATAAGCTGGTAGGTATTTCACTTTTATGGACTTATCTGGTGTTCCACTTTGTCGAATTAATCTCGAAGAGAAATTTCACTTTTAGTCATTTCAAAACGTCAACATGCATCGGTTGTGTTTTTTACTCTCATTTCTCATTTGCGGGATTTCCGCCGAACAAGTAAAAGTTTTTAGACCGTTCGGCCTTGTTAATAAATTATTTTTCGGCAATCAGCAGACAGTTGTTAGTAAATTACCTTTGCCGCTGGAATTTGTGCTACAAAGAATTCAAAGCTTCTATTCAACATATGTGCATGAAGATCTAAGTAGACCACCTACATGGGACAAACCGGTATACACATACACGGCAAATAACAACAATCAAAATGATGGTAATACCCATACTTTGCATACAAATCTTTCAGTTCAAACCACAGAAAATCTCTTTGAAATTATTAATAAGGATACTAATAAAACTTATTCTGAAGAATTAGAAGCAGTAACGAATATATCAGAATCTGAAAAGACTACTTCTTTTTACGAAACTGAAGATTTTACAGATGACTATTATCAACAAAATGAAGCTCCTAAAGACAAACTTTTTGAAATAATCAACAAAGATACTAACAAAACCAAAGAAGAAGAGTTGTTTGAAGCAATTAATAATATAGCGAATACTAATGACGATAAAATTATTTATATTACACCAAAGACTTCAACGTATTCTTCTGTTAGTACTGGAAGTTTGGAAGTCACAAATGAGAATGATGTTGAGATTAATATTACTTTAGGTCAGCCAGAAATAGTTTAGGAATATATATATATATATAATTTTGGTAAGTTAAATTAAATTCATAGTTAAGTTCTAAGACTGTAAAGTTTGGAGGAGTATTATTTTACCGCATTTCTTTATATCTGACAGTACAATAAGTCTAGGCTTACCATAATAATGAAACTGTTAAGCGATGTGATGTTAAATTTTTACTCCATTAAATTTTTACTTTCGAGTAAAATTTTCTTTTGCATTCACTACTAAGAGTTATTAGCGACATAAGTTACACTACATTGCTCTACAAATATATTTACATTACAATTATAACAACTGATGAAATAGACCTACATTCTTCAAAAAGTTTATAACATTTACCGAATTACAGTGTTCTTTTAAAACAGATGTAAGGTTAGTTGCAAGGTTATGGTTAGTTCTTATAGTGTTGTGTTTGTTACACTCCATTAGTATGTGATATACACTTGGTCTTTACTTCAAAACTCACATTTAAGAGGATTGACTCTATTAAATAGGTAAGAATGAGTTAGTCTTGTATGACCCAGGCGTAACCTGTCAATTTTTACTTGGTTCACATGTCTTATATTTAGTTATTTCCAAGGTTTTACACTCGGATTTATTGTTTTAAGATTCTCTGATGTCTTATTTAACTTGTTTTGCCACATACACATTATTTTATTTTTAATAACTGCTTTCATATCACTCGCTACTACTTCGCGCACTATAGTTGCTTCAGTGCTGGTTGCTGCTTCTTTAGCATACGTTTCCGTATATGCCTACGTGTGATGGAACCAATAATAACTTAATTTCTAATTGCCGAAGAAAAAATGATTCTGATTTCATTAAGCTGACAATTGAATGTTTAGATTATAACTGTTGGATGGTGTGGATGGAACTTAGAGAGTCTAAAACTTATTATTACTTTGGAGTGATGAATCGATTTTGCAAATCTTACTGCTTCCAAGATGACGAACAGATCGGCTGTAAGGATGTTATTAAACAAAGATAACTGAAAAGTTTTAGCAGATGTTGGTCTGTTTATGAGGCGTCGCTATATATAGGAAAATAATCGTTACGCTGATTCATTATCTCACGAAAAGCTTGTTTAATGTAATTATGGTTTATTTTAGCTTTGTTGTGTTTAATTAGGACAGTTATAATTTGACATTGGGAAATTGTCCAGGGAGCAGGTGTTTTGGTATTTGATGCAAAGAAATCTGATAGTTGTATCTTAAGGTTATTTGTATATTGTCTAATTCTTTCGTAAAAAGGTTGATCTTGTCTCTTATTAAAGTATGTATTAGGGAAACGGCTGGTTTTGATATTAGAGTTGACTGGATTATTATCATTTGCAAGAGCGCGATAAACTTAAGTACATTCTCCTATATTATAAAGTGTTCTCCCGTTAGGCATTGAAGACTTACGACAGGCGATATCCGGAAAGCTCCTGTGGCAATTCGTAATTCACTGCTTTGTATTGTATCTAGTAGCTGTAATAAAGATTTTTTAGCAGAAGAATAAACAATAGAACCATAATCAATTTAAAACCTAATTAAACATAAAGTATAAATACATGAGGCTAGAGAAGTTACCCAATTATGAGCGGCGATGGTTCTTAATAAATTTATTCGGTTTTGACATGTTTTCTTTAAGTTTACAATATGGTCTTCCCAGGTCAATTTTTTATCAAAAATTATATCTAGGAAGCGAATGCTATTTTTAAATTTTAACAATTGCCAGTGGAGGTATAATGATAGATTTACTTGTAAATGTTTTTTCGAAAAAAACACACATTTTGTTTTAGATGTAGAAAACTTCAATCCTATGGATTCTGACTAGCGACCTAAGCTATCTAGTGAAGTTTAAATATATTTTTGGGTAGGTGTGATATTTTTCCCTCTAGCAAATATAACCAGATCATCAGCATAAAGTCTTACTTTCACTAGTGGGGAGCAGTGATCTAGAATATTATCAATTCTGACTTGCAAGTTTCTAATTTTAAGGAAGTTACTAATAGAATGTAAAATATTTCCTTTTAGGTTCCACTTGTGGAGTTTTCCTATAATGTTGCGTCGCTATATAGTATCATATGCTTTTGTTATATCTATAAATACTACGATACGTTCCTGTTTGTTTGTAAAAGCTTCATGAATTTTTGACTCCAAGCCAATCAAGTTGTCAGCTGTACACCTATTTTGACGGAAACCACTCTGTTCACTAATAAGTTTTGTGATGTTCTAGGTACCAAAGTAATCTTTTGTTTACCATTTTTTCTAACACTTTGCACATAACATCTGTTAACGATATTGGTTTATATGATTCTAGGATAGTTTTTTTATTGTCAGTTTTTAGTAATGGAATAAAAGGCTTCACGCCAACTTAAAGGAAATACATTTTTAGACCATATGTGATATATATTTGTATATTTGTAGTAAAAACTCTTTGCAACTCTTGGGCAAATTCTGAAAAAAAAATGGGTATGCTATCAGAGCCTGGTGTAGATTTCTTAAATTTTTTAAGTGCGTCATCTTACTCTGTTTTTGTAAAGAGGTTATTTATTGAGTTGTGTGTATAATCATCGTAATCCATTAATTCTTTTTCTTTGGTGTATTTTGTTTTCAGGAAGGCATCACTATAATTGTCACCTGAATTATTTTCTTATTGGTTTGCTAATATTTCCGTAATTTCTGCTGCATGTTTTATTAGTTTTCCATTTTGTGTTAAGAATGGAATTGACATTTAACTTATTCCATAGACAAATAATATAATATTAGAAAACTTATTCCATTTGAACCTATTGGAGGCAGATTTGAACGCTTTTACAGCTTGTTGACATTTTTCATTCCACCATGGAAATGAAATATGTTTATTGTTTGTTTTTATTACTCCGATGTGTTTACTGGCTACGTCAATTAATGTAGAACAGAAAATATGTACTGTTTCATTTATGTCTGTAATTTCCTTTTTTCTTATATATTGTATTTTGGGTTCTATTGAAATTTGAAAACTGTTCCAGTTGGCATTTTTGATGTTCCATTTAGGTTACTGGAATGGAGACCAAGAGATGATGCCTACCGAAGCAGAGGTCGTCCACCAACACGTTGGACTGACCATCTAAAACGTTGTTATAGGAATTGGATGCAAGAGGCACAAGATCGAAATAGATGGAAAATTATGAGGGAGATCTATGTCCAGTAGTGAGGGGTTATAGGGGGTTTATAGGGAAATGATTACTACCAAATAAGTGAGGGATAACATCCCAGATAAATGTTGAAGATAAGATTGGTTCACATAGGGTAAGATCAATGAAGTTTTTCCTGTATGGATATCCATTCTAATTCAAGTTTAAGTTTTTAAGTGCCACTAACTTTTCTGTCCCCTACCTCTAGTGTTAGTACTTGTTGATCCCCATATTTGATCATGACTGTTAAAGTTCTCTAATATTAAACGTGGAGTAGGAATTTATGGAGCATTTATGGAGCAGTGTTTATCTGTATTTATTTAGCTTTGTAATTTTCATGTACATATATACTGCTACAACTTCACTAGCTTTAACTAGGTTTTGCCTATTTTTATTAAAACATTTATAATTTTTGAACTTGTGCGCATGTTGATTTTTAAAATTAGTTTCCTGTAGACACAGGATATATGGTTTTATTTGGCGTTTGGCGTTTGTAATAATTCGATGTTGTAAAATCCATTAATATTTCATTGCAGAATTGTCTCTATATGCGTCATTTTATTCATACGATGATTCTATTGATGATTTATCTGAGTAGTTTTCTGTTACTTGTTGTATGGCTAGTTCAGATAAATTTAGCTGTGTAATCAGTGTTCTTCTTATTCTTGTACTTAAACTTTCATACGTTTACTTTGATAATATGGGTGCATGTTTGACAACATTTTCAAAAATTAAGATGTATTTTCTGTATATGATTTTGATCCCAGCGCATTTTCGAAAAAGTCTACGACTTGATTGAATGTTACTGGTTGACTTGTATCGTTAAAGAGTTTTTCGGTGGGCCTAATTAATTCTAAGAAATCAGTGCTCTGGTTTTGTTTAGACAATTTCTTGATTTTTTTATTTACAGGATTTTTCGGTAAAGTGAACGTATCTTCTATTTGCGATATACTTGGGGAAGTGGTTATTTCGGAAGCTGTTCTTTTTGTATGCGTTTTTCTCTTTTCCCGTGTTATATTCTAGCTTTTCTGTGGAGATGGGATTAGGGATATGGGTAATAATATTTTAAGGATTTGTGTTTAAATTTTCGAAAGTTTTAGTCTACTGGAGGAAATGGATTTGGTTGAATTTCTTTTAGTATGGGTTGTATGAGTGAAGTAATTTGTTCTTGAGAAATATATTGTGTGTCGTTGTGTATCATTTTAGTGCGATTTGGACAATTAGTAAAGGTATGACCATGTTAATTACAATTATAAATTGCTTGACTTTAGCGTGATAGGAAAATACGATAAGGAGTGTTTTTATGAGTAATAATAATAGAAGTAGAAACAACATTTTCTACAGGAAAAATGTAAACAGTACGCCTAAAACTTAAACATGCTTACGACTAGGGTGCTGTGTTCCTATTTTTAGGCAAGTTATGGGAGAAGTTAATTTTAGTCCTAATTTGGTAAGTTTTTATAAACTGATCTGGTATTAATCAGCACACGTTAGACAGTAATAGCCTGTCGTTGGGTGTGATTAGTCTGTGGACGGGAAGTTGTTCATTGTTGATTTTTATTGTTGCGTTGCATTTGATCAGAAATTTGTCTACGCAATCTTCGCTGGATAAGTATACACATATTCTGTTATTTGTGATTCTGGATAAAAATGTGATGAATTCAATTGTTATATTTCCTCATTATGGGTGGACCTGTGGAGTAAAACAAAAACTAAGCTTTGAGGGTATACCTATATGAAAATACGTAAGGATACATTTCAATATATTTATCATACCATCCGTATCTCCGGCGAATCTCACGTGATTTGAACACGACTAATAAACTTGACCACGCGATCAACAGCTCGGTCGCGATGTAAAACAAACTATTGAAACTATTTTGTTCTGCTCTGGCATCGACCTCGCTATAAGCTGCGACGATAGGTAGCAAGGTTGAACGGATGAAACATCCTTAGTATATGAAATCTCATAAGAAAATGATGGTTTTGACATCGATGTATCGATCGAGACCGCGACAAAGAATTCTTTTTAAAGCACTATACTGTGACCGCGACTTAAATCGCACACTTCCATGTATCTTCGGTATGTCCGTATCCTAAGATTGGATGCAGCTTTGATCATATATGAGACGGCATCACTAACCATTAATAATATTTTTTTCAAAATAATACTTGATCAGGTATAAAAAATGGTAGGATTCGTCAAAAAATCTAGCTATGTCGCATAATTTGTTTTTTCTAAACACTTTAAAATCATTAAATATGAGGTTTTAAAATCGCCATAGTCGTTAAGAACTCCTAAGATATTTATCTTTTAACTGATTTTTAATACTCATCACATCTTTGTAATATGCAATGACATATTTCTTCCGAACAGTTGAAGAATTTGGCCTTTGAGCTGATTTATCTCCAATATTGTAATTAAGTTTTTAAAAAGTTTTGGCACCATTTATTTTTTGTAAACTTTAACACTTAGATACACTGTACAAACTTCTTCAAATACATTAAGCTTTTATCAATAGGTATATTTATTAGATATAACGGTGCATTGTCTACATTTAATTACTATTTTGACTAGCTCGTCACGTATTTATGTTGTTCCGGTTATGGTCAAATTAAATACGAGCCATCCTTTTCAAAACCATAAGGGGATGATTAATTACCTTTAGTTAATTATGTCTTTAGATGTAAAATAGGCCAGTTACTGACCATTACCTTAATGCGTTTCTGACAAATATTTCTAAAATAAATTGTAAAATAAAATTTAAATACATTTGCAAAACACAATATAAAAATAAAATTTTAAAATAACATATTTTTTTATGTAATTCGTATATTTTGAATTAAGATTAATGTACAGTCTCTTTCTAAGTTCTGTTTCTAAATAATCAACAATTGGTTAATAAATAATGTAGTTATACTTATGGCAGCCTATCGTTCAACTATTGGTTGGGAATGACTGGCCCATTGTGACATCTGGAAACAGGTCATCGAGTGTTGTCCTGTGCTCTCTATAATGCAGGGCAGCATGGTCCCCCAATTTGAGTTCTTATCCTTTTTCTTGGTTTAATTTGCTGACCAAGATAAGTGGCTGGAACGAGAACCTGTACTGACCTGTCGGAGCGTATTCACCTGGTTCAAAAATGGCTCCAGAATGAATTAGCAGGCAGGCGCTGGAATGTATGGTAGCGGAATCGGATTTAAGTCTATACCGTCACTCTGTTCCCATACATCAGTCTTTCAGCCAAATATATTTACGATCCTGGTATGTGCTAAGGAGAAAATAGATAAGGCTGTCTGAGGTAGGACTATTTCTATCTGCTCAGACAAACAAGCAGCGCTAGCGGCTTTTGAAGCGCCCAAAGTCAGCTCTAAACTGGTTCTTGGGTGCAAAAGAGTACTGGCTAATACTGCGCTGACCAATAGCGTCAACTTGATATGGTTACTGGGACACAAATGTGCGAAACAAATCAAATCGGCTAACGTAGTGGCAAGCCGGGACTCATCCACTTTGCCTGTAGAACCCAAATCTGTGATTGGAATGACCCGTCTTAGAAAATCTAAGTGTCTAAGTTCATGAGCCCTGCCCCCACCATAGCATAATCATACCCGTTTTATAAATCCAGCTTTAAGCCATATAGGTCTCACTCCCTCTAAGAGGTAAATTTATTCATCCGAAATACCTACAGTATCAAAAGATTGATATTTGGAGGAGCGATTTCCGTGACCTGGGTGAATTGATATGCTAAAGTGACTCTCAACAATTCTCTTACATATCAGATCGTCAAGGTCCTTAGATAACGTACTTAGTCTAATATTTTTTATGTTTTATAGGAGGTTCTTAGAAATGACCCAGATAGTAAAGAGAATCAATAATAGGTATCATCTAGGTAATTCCCGGTGTAATGCCTTCTAACGTATCGCGTAAACATATTTCGTTTTTAATACAATAATAATATATTTTGTAATATATTTCTTTATTAATAATACACAGTACGTTTCTCTACCATAGTTCATTGTGATATACATATATGAAAAATAGTTCCTTAAAGGTCTCATAAATCTCTTCAAAAACAAGTAATTTGAGCGGACCCTTGGTAATTTCATTTAACACCTGAATATATATTTATCTTTAGTATCATCTTCATTACCTTTTAATACGTAGGTGTAAGTCATAATGCAATTACTATTTTCATTGGAAATAAGCCATAATATTAAACACATAAGCCACAAGTTTAAAATAAGTATATTTTTGCCGTTTCAATTTTCACTTCGGAAGTCGTTCTCAAAATTTAAAATATTAATAAATTAAACACATTTTGTTTTTTGTTACTTCTTGAAAAGTTCTTCTAATAATTTAATTTTATCTGACTTATTTATATATTTTGCTGAGTTGCGTTCCTGTGACGACTTTATTGTAAGATAGTTCATTCGATTACATAAAATTAACATTAAGTTGAGTATTCATTAACATTCCAATGTATTCAAAATATTCAAATATAGTCCTAAAAGAAACGGATGGTAAAAAGAAAAAAATTAAAGAAGCGGCTATAATTATGCTAAATGAGACCAATTGTGTCGCAAATTCCTCGGCAGAATGTAGTAGGATCTGGTTACCCATATTAAAACAGGAAGTCATTAAAAGGAAAATACCAGTATTAGCAATTTAGTAACATGTAGAGGATACATCATTTATGTTTTTTAAATAACAAACATATAAAATCAGAATTTGGTGTTTATTGAAAGTAAACTAAGTGCTCGACCAAATACTTACCATATCGGGATAGTATTATGAGGTTTTTTCCTGGCTTTTCCCTCATAATTTACTATGGAATCACTAACAGGGAAATTTTACTGTATTTTACTGTCATCGTGGCATATGTTTGTCTTTTTTAAAGACGAATTACATGCAATGATTTTTTCTGACGGATATTCTTAAGTTAAAGTTGATTTCATGTAATCGAATGAACTATCTTACAAGTAAAGTCGTCCCAGGAACGCAACTCAACAATATTCGCAAGGAAAACTGTCCAGTGACAGTTTAATTTAATTCTTCCATTTAATAATCTCCTTTTGTTACTCTATTCTGTTACTTACTACCTAATACCAGGTAATTACATTACAGTCAGTACATTATTTGTTTAACTAAGTGTAAATCTATTTTACTTTTTTGACCTATCTGCAAATTGGACGACCAATATTTCAATTTTCATCAGAATCAGAATTTCATCAAGGATATTCATATATAAAAAACAGAATCGTAAAATAAGTAAAAGTAGTTTTATGTAAATCAATTTCTCATCCCGAAGAACCTGCCGCATTAGGCCAACGACTGGCCTAGACAAAAAAGAGAGTATTTCCTACTGTGAATTTTTTATGCACACTACTGACAGTGTTATAAGTGTATGATGATCAGTGAAATCAGTCGAATAACGGTGCATTCAGAAGAGCAATGACGAACTTACATTTAATTTATTTGTTATGTTTGTTTTATTGTTTCACGAAGACGTTTTCCATGCCAATGAACAATGAAGCTAAAGTGATTCTGGTGCCTATAAGGTATAACTTAAATTTTTTTTTTAAATGTGATGAATATTTCTGAATATTTCTTTAATACACCAGGGAAATAGCAAAAAAGTACCCTATATGTGATACTGAATCAGCTAGGCAAACGACAGTTGTTTTGAGTAGTATGGACCTCTGTAACAAAAATATATATTAAACGCAACCGTCTACATTATTTATTAAAAAAAAAAAACGGTAAATTTGATCTTTTTGCGTCTATCAGCAAAAAGTAAACCATTTGAAACAAATTTGAGAATAAGAAACTTATAAGTCATATAAATACCTTTAAAATTGTGTTTTCTAAATGTTCCTATCATATGTTACTTAGAAAATTGAAGAATGACTCAAACATTTCGTTTTTTTATACTACTTTTTTTTTTAAATAAAATTATAATCTTTATATTACATACAACGTTGGGTCTTGTGGTGCTAAAAATATGATCAAATTTCAAGTCGATAGGCCAATAGTTTAAAAGTTATTTAATTTGTTGATACCAAATTAATTTTTTTTTGTAGCAATATAAGTCAGAAAATTATATAGTTAGCTATATTAATTATACGGGTAGCTTCTGAAAACAGATTTATTTTGTTTATAATATTAAAAAAAAGAGGAAGAATAATTTTAAATATTGCAAACTAATTTGGCAAAAACATGTCGATTTTTTGTTTATAAACAATTAGAATAACTTTTTAACCATAACCTTCAAGAAATTGATTCATATTTAGAAAGCCTGAATTTTTTAACAAATTAAAAAAAAACAATTGACCTAGGACACTTTGGGACGAACTTACTGCCTTTTTTTATAAATTGATAGAAGCTTTGTTTATAGCAATTAAGAGACCTTATTAGTTATATATTAAATATTTAAATTGTTAATTAAACCA